TCCTTCTTTCGATCGATTGACTGGACAGCAGTGCTGATGAAGAAGTTGGTACCGCCATATAAACCTGTCCTTGTAAGTTTTTTGACGGTGTTTATATCACTTTATACTCATCACAATGACTTCACTGACATCACTTGTACGTCATCATCTTCTTCATCACCATCTACGTCATTATTATCTTTTTCTTCATCGCCACTACAGAATGGCGAGCTTGACGTCAGCCAGTTTGATTCAAAGTTCACACATCAGACGCCAGTTGACTCGCCCGATGACAGCCATCTCAGTGAGAGCGTCAATCAAGTCTTTCAAGTATGCTATCATCACTAACTCTCTCACTCAGTCATTCATTTGTTCGCGTACTCATTTCTTCACTCAATCATTTATATACTCTTTCAATTGTTCACTCATTCATTCATTTACTTGTTTAGTAAATTCATAAACTTAGTTCATTCTAGTTTCGTTCAATCTCATTTTTACGTGAGTGATTGATCATGTCATGCTCCGTCTTACCGTATCTTATCCCGTTTAATCCTCTTTTTGGTACCACTTATCCTGTTCCGACGTATACTGTTATTTGCTATCCAGGGTTTCACGTACGTAGCGCCGTCCGTGTTTGAGAGTATCACGGAACCGTGGAGGAACAAGGATGGCAAGTTTAATAAAGAACTCTTTGATAGGTAGGCGAGCGTACAAACACCATACAGCCGACAACATTCCAACAATACAGAAACATACAAGTGACGACATAAAAACGACAAAATTCAAAAGACAGCATACAAACGACAACATACAAACAAATCAAAGACAACAAAATTTATATACACAATGACAGCGGACAATGATATTGACATAAAAATAATACTACGATACAAAATAATGACACAACTACAATAGCTCAAGTCCTGTAGACGATGACATATGTGGAGCAGCAGCAGCAGCTGCAACAACGACTTCATCAGCGACAACCTCCCCAACGTTAGCAGCAGCAGCAGCAGCTTTATCAACTACAATATTTGATGAAGAGACAGCTTTATCAGCTACAATATTTGATGAAGAGGAGATGGATGTATCAAACACTGCGTACAACTTCAATCAAAGTAATTTTCGTTTGTTTTGATGCCATATTTTTTGTTTGTTTGTTTTTTTATGTTTTTTGTTGTTGTTGTGCAATGGTTGTTTACGATGTTGTTCATAATTGTTGCTGGTTTATTGTTCTATGTTTGAATTTGTTCATGTTGTTCTCGGTGTTTCACTGAGGCAGTTGTTTCTTTATCAGCAAAATCATCCTCACATCATCATCCTCATCAGTGTTTCGCTTGCTCAACCGAAACAATTATTTCTCCATCATCAGCAGCACATCTTCAGTTCTTTTTACCTGTAAAATTAACCTCCCCGCCACCAAACTTCAGGTCTTCAGATCAGTGCTGCCAGCAAAAGTAGCAGCAGCAGCAACTTCTACCGCAGTCACGATCAGCATTACGGAAACTTCTACCTCCAGCAACAGCAACGACACCATCCACCATTGTCGTCATCACCACCAGCGTCATCGTCTCGTTTCGGTTTGATCCAGAAAGATCCGCGTCGCCACCTCTACCCCCACGAAGACGAAGATGAAGACGCCGCGCTACTTTTGACATCTGACCCCATGCTTGACCCCGCCATCAACAGGTCTCCGATTTTGGGTCAGCGCACCTTTGGCGCTAGCTACCTCAACAAGCCACAACAGCAGCAATATTCTTCTCAACAAAACATTTTGCAACAGTCTCAACAACAACAGCTGAAACACCAACAACCCTTTTTTCAACAAAACTTTTCGCAATTTCAACATTATCAACAACAGCAACATTACCCACAACAGCCACAACTACAACAACAACATCATCATCAACATCAACAATCCCAACAGCAACAACAACAACAGCAAAGAATGTTTAACAACTACATGACTCAACCAATAACGTTTGGTGGTGGTATAAACATCGCTAAGAAGAAGTGATGATGATCATTATCATCATCTTTATCATCATCATCGTCACCTATACCATCATCACTATCTCCATCGTTTCACCAGTATAATTAAAAATATCAAACTTATATTATTTCCATCATCATTGTAATCGTCATTAACATCAACATTATCATCATTATCATCATACTACAGTATACGAGTACTTACTACATACCATCATACTACATCGTCATCATTTAAATCATTATCATTATCACGGACACCGTCACCATCATCATCATCAGCATCGTCGTCACAAGAGTCATCATCATCATCATCATAATCATCTAATCTGTTATGTGGCTTACGAAGAAATAAAACAGTTAAATAATCTTTGATAATAACTATTCACCAACTTTAAATATACGTACACACACACACACACACACACACACATATATATATATATATATATATAATATATATATATAATATATATATATATAAGATTACGACTGTCTGAAACGCAATTATTGAATTATCACAGAAATGCTGTGATTTTCATTAATAATAAATAAATATATATATATATATATATATATATATATATTTATATTATTATATTTTTGTCCACTGTGTTTTGCGGTTCTAAAACGCTTTTCCACATTTGATTTGCTGATTTAAATCATTGCAATCTCTGATTGATTGATAAGGTTGATTGAGTGATTGATTGTTCGAATGATTCATTCATTCATTTACTCATTTATTTATCGTTGAAATCTTTGATTGATATTGTTGATTGAGTTAGTGATTGATTGTTCGAATGGTTCATTCATTCGTTCGTTCATTCATTCATTGAGATGAAGACAGAAATAAATTTATTTTATAATTTTGCCTGTTGTTTTATTCTCCTTGAGTACATTACACTACTACTACTACCACTACTACTACTACTACTAATGATGCTGCTGCTGCTGCCGCTACTACTATTACTGCTTCTATTATCGCTACCACTATTACTGCTTCTATTATCGCTACCACTATTACTACTGTTACATGCGCATACGTTTGATTTGATTTTTTCGAAATTTTCAATGGTGTTGATTAACTTTACAGAAAAGATAATTATGTACACACACACACACAAACACACACACACACATATATATATATTTTTTCATTGGTATTTAACGTTATAACATTGCGCGCGAAATTAACCAAAAACTAACTGACTGACCTAAATGGATGACAATATTATTATTATTAACCTTTAGAATTATGAAATCGAAATCATATATTTGAATATTAGAATATATAGAAAATTCATATATGTATAAGTATATATATATATATATATATATATATATATATAATTTTGATTGATATTTTTCTATGAGTTTCTACTAGCAAAAAAGATCTTTAAAGCAAATTGATGCGTCTATTTTTATCATCGTTTTAATGTTTATTTTTTATTATTTCAATTAATTATTTTATTATTTATTGTGATTGTTATTATTATTATCGTTATTATTGTCATAATTATCGTTACTATATTATTACCACAAATTAACCTTAGTTTGTAATGTAAATAAGCATTTTATATGTTCTATGTTAACCTATTTAATCTATTTTTAGATTTAAAATGTATTTTGGTTTTTCTATTTTTTTTTGTTCAATGATTGGCATTTTAGTTTTAATTGATTAAATTTCATTCGACTTAACTTGGTGGCTGGTTTTTGATTAACTAATATACCAACAAACAAGCACACACACACACACACAAACACACACACAAGCAAACACACGCGTAAAATACATGTGGATCATAGCACCACACACATTTTATTGTTGTATTGCTTTAATATAGGCGGCGGTTACTGCATTCAAACCCATTCACTACAACAACAGTGCCAGGCACCTTAACCATTACACCACCGCAGCGTGTCACAGTTAGTTAATTTTTAAAATATAATTAAACCGATTAGTAAAGAAATAATTTTAATCGATTAAACGATGATGTCAATCAATCGTAAAAGAATTAATTGAGGGGGCATAGATAAGTAAATAAATAAAATAACAAAGATAAAATAGCATCTAATTAAAAATTTGATGGCGATTACATGACGACGACAATTAAATGGTAATGAGTGGGTCGTACGATTAGGACAGCATAATAGATACAACAACAACACACGTTTAGACGGCATTTTCCCCGAGATCGGGGGTTGCCGTTTGGCTACCTATGATGAAACCGAAATACCCCTCGACTCCATAATAGATAACAATAAAGAATTACAAATCATGATCGTGGTTATGCTGGCGAAAACAATAGAGATGATGACACGGTGATGACGATGATAACAATTACAGTAGTAATAATAGTAGTAATAAGAATAATTATAGTAGTAGTAGTAATAATAACGATGATGATGCTGATAAGAACTATGTTGAAGTGGCGTTAACCTGCTGATAATGAGTATGACGATCGTGATAATAGTCATAATGACGATGATGATAATAATGATGACTAAGACGATAGAAGAGTTGTTGATATTAAAGTGATGCCGATATTGTATCTGCGATACATTTTCAGTATTTGATACTTTTGATATGGAGTATCTGACATGATATCAAGTTTGATACCCTGTATCAAAAGGTATCGATATCGCCGATAGTTTTTAGACAGACAAAAACGACACTCGATGCCAATATTTTTGAACGTCAGGTAGATATATTTTAAAATGGCGAATTTGAGATTTAAGATAAAGTTTTGTCGTCTTATGCCTGTTCGTTTCTAATAACTTGTTCAGTCCTCGCAGTCTTCAAACGTTGTTCATTTTGGAGGTTACAAAATTCAAAAAACTGTTTCATCTTTTAATCAAGTTTACTATCGAACGCTTTCATGTAGTAACGTTTGAAAAATACAAAAGAATTGGCATCGGTTTTGCCGAAAATACTTTAAAACATGAGTATCGGCCGGTATTAGTTTTGGCAATACATTTTAAAGCCGGTATCCATATTGGTGAAATTTTGAAGGTATTGATAACAGCTC